AAGCAAAGCAGGGTCGAGGATTTCGGGCATAAATTCAATTCTGTCGGTCGATTTGTGTCTGTACTCGTGTTTCCATTCAACTTAGAAGAAGATTAATTAGCCGCCTTGTAGTAAATAAATTAGCCCATGATGCCAAACGGGGGGAGGCTACAGCAATGTTGCTACCGGTGGTAAAAGGATGTGAGTAAAAGTCATACAAATAATAGATAGTATCCCAATTTATGCAGAAGAACATAGAAAATAAATCCTGAATCCAACGGGAGCAACTCAAAAACCGACAGGAGGCATCAAAGGAAGCAGATCATTATCATGAGATTATATTAAAAAAACACCTTTAGTGAGACACAAACATGCCTGAAGCTGGTTTCCAGCCTGGTCACATGGTCATTACAAAGTGTAAAAAAGAGGCTATGGGGTCCTCTCTCAAATCAGACACCGACAAGCTCAGTCAGCTTGAGAATTTGAACATTGTTTTGTGAATCTGATCCCTGTTTTATAAACATTATAGCCTAAAATGGGAAACTCTTACCTGAGTTTTGTTTTCATTTTAGTGCCAAGCATCCTTACTAACATGAATCCTCTGATTCAGTTGTAGAAAGGGGCATATTTCTACTTAATTTCTCATTTTAATTAGATGCGGGGTCCCACAGGGCTCTGTTTTTAGCCCTATTGCGTTTCTGATATAAAAACTTGGCTAATTAGCAGCAACACCTGCCACAGCATTAATCCTGATTACATCAGAACTCTCATGGATTGTCAAATGAGAAGAAATTGTCAGGAGGTCACTTCCTCAAGTCTTTTATGACTCGTCTGGTTAGTGGATCAGTCTTTTGTGTTATTATAAGCAGCAAAGATGATGCAAAGATGCACATTTGAGTTTTTTTCGTCACTTAAACCTCAAAAGTGATTTAAACAGAGACTTTAAGAGTGGATCACACTGCATTCATCATGCTGAATCCACCAAAAAGCATCTGCAAAATGTTAATTTCTGAAGGCTTTGAATTAGATTTTCTACTTCTTTATGTGTACTTTATGATTTAAATATCCCCCCATTGCATTTTAGTTGACGTCTTCAATAATATGTGAAAGATAATGAAGCCACAACCAAAAACCCACAGAAGATAATCCCTCTTTAAAGGCAGAGAGGAGGCCTGCTGGCTGTGCCTGTGCGCTGACATTTTGACGGCTTCACAATGATGAAGCGCTCCGTTTCTCACCACAGCATCTGCTAAGTGACTAAACGCAGATAAAGTGAATCACCGGCTGGTTTCTGAGTGATCAGCGGGGCCTCGCCTCGCTTTATTTTTGTCCCTGAACTTCTCCTCTCCTCACTGCATCTGTAAATCTATACGCACGCAGTTTTGGGTCCCTTTTGGGCTGGACTGGGTCCATTTCGGAGCAGTTTATGGTCCATTTTGGGCTGGATTGGGTCCATTTCGGACCAGTTTATGGTCCATTTTGGGCTGGACTGGGTCCATTTCGGACCAGTTTTGGGTCCCTTTTGGGCTGGATTGGGTTAGTTTGGGTCGTGTGCTCAGCTCCGTGGGGCAGGACGGGTCGGCAGATGGAGCTTTTATATCAAATAAATGCACAATAAACAGGGAATCAACAAAAAAACAAAAACGTTGTCGTTTGAAATCTATCGTCCTGCCATGTTATCTTTTCGCCTATTTTGGACTGATTTGGGTCAGTTTGGGTAGGCTTTGGACCAGTTTTGGACCAGTTTGTGTTCGTTTTGGGCTGGATTGGGTTAGTTTGGGTAGGCTTTGGACCAGTTTTGGACCGGTTTTCTTTCTTTTTTCCGTCATTAACTTACTGTAAACACCGTTATTTGTGCCTTTACTCGGCTTATAGAGTTTTTTTCTCTGTCTGCCCGTGCGTATTTTTTAGCCCTGCTGCTGTAACATGTGAGTTTCCTCTCTGTGGGATCAATAAAAGCCTCTAATCCGATCTGATATTGACTGTTTTCTGGCTGGTCCTAACACGGTCTGACGGGTGTGTCCACCTGGGTGATGCAGGCCCCGGTGAAGGCCACCACGTTGGACTCTTCTAAAGGACACTTTCTAAATCTGTGCTGGCCATTTTTATGGATTCTTT